CTGAACCCCCAATTTTTTTAAAATCGGGGAAATGGGTTGGGCCCGGGGGCAGTAGGGGGGCCCCCTGATAAGCCCTTGGGACCTTTTTTTTGTAGGGTTTTTTGAGTTTGGGCAAGGGCACAGGTCCTCATGATCCCCCCAATGCCCGGGGGGGCCCCTTTAATTTTCATCTGGCCCCCGTCACCATTATAATAAAATAAGGGGGGGGTATGATCTCCAGGATAATACAAAAGGGGGGAAAAGATCTCCATGTATAAACATAAGGGGGGGTTGAACTCCATGTATAAAACATAAGGGGATATGATCTCCATGTTAATACTAAGGGGGGGATATTACACCATGTATAAATTTAAAAAGGGGGATATGATCTCCAAGTATAATACATAAGGGGGGATATGATCACCATGTATAAAACAAAGGGGGGAATTTTCTCCATGTATAATACATAAGGGGGAAATTTATCTCCAAAGTATAATACATAAGGGGGGGTAAATCTCCATTATAATACATAAAAGGGGGGTATATCTCCAAGTATAAAACATAAGGGGGGTATATCAAACCCCCTTTTTAATTTAAAAAAATAAAAGGGGGGGTATGATCACCATGTATAATACCCTAAGGGGGGGTTTGATCTACATTATAATTCCCAAAAAGGGGGGGATGATCTCCATTATAAAACATAAGAGGGATATGATCTCCATGTATAATACATAAGGGGGGATATGATCACGCAAGTATAATACATAAGGGGGATATGATCTGCCATGGTATAATACATAAGTGGGGGGATATGATCTCCATGATAATACCATAAAGGGGGGGGGGATAGGATCTCCATGTATAATACATAAGTGGTGATATGAATCACAAATATATTATAACAAAAATGGGAGTAAAATGCTCGCAAAGATAATATTACATAAGGGGGGATAGACACCATGTATAATACATAAGGGGGGATTTGATCTAGCAGTATAATAACATAAGTGGGGATATGATCTTTCCATGTATAATACTAAGGGGATATGATCTCTCCATGTATAAATACATCAGTGGTATATAGTGAACTCGGTGTAGTTATTCACCCTGAGGATACACAGAGACAAGGGGCACTGCTTACATCCGGAGGAAAAGAGATTAAGTCTCCAAACACGAAAGGTTTCTCACAGTGAGAGCTGTGAAAATGTGGAATAGACTCCCTCAAGAGTAGGCTCTGTCCATCTTTCAGTTGATTGCTGTAGGAAAGTTCTGGATTCTATTCTTAGACCCACAAATATAACTGGATACTAACATTTATATAGTGAAAGATGATTCCAGGAATATCCGATTGCCACTTCAGGGATCAGACGGAGTTTTTTTATTCCCCTGCAGGAGCATATTGGATCATGTTTTGTTTGGATTTTTTGGCTTCCTCTGATCACTGTGGGTATAGGATTATAACTTTTTAGTTTTTTGTGGTCAAACTGGATGGACTTTTGTCTATTTTCAGCCAGACTAACATATGTAACCTCCAAGCCATCGATAGTGACAACATTACCATGGAATGCATTAATATTAATTGTTAAAGCGCTGAGCAAACTGTTTGCGCTATATAAATCCAGTATAATATTTTTAATATATTTTTTTTTGTCACTTTCTGTCGCCAATGAACATTTCATAAAGGATTATTTTTTGTTTATTTTTCACCCTAAGCCCAAGGGCAGAACATGCTGATGAATGCACACAGTAAGTGGAACAGGATGTATATCACTCACCAGTACCCCCCCACCTGCTCTACCACGAGCTGGTCCTCCAAGGGGGATTATGGGGGGAGGAGTGAAATATTGCCCGGGGGTTGTGTCAGTCTTGTTTCGGGGTGTGGGTCACATTAAATATGGACCCCTCCCAAAACAACAAAAATATAAAAACCCTCAAAAGCCAGAGCGGGAGTTTTTGCTAAAAAGGGGAAATTATCTGTATTAAGAGCTTGTCTCAGTTAAGTGAAAAAACCGCCAGGCGGGGCTGACCCTTTAGAAACTCCGGCACTGCCCGAGGGGGCCCGGGGGCAGTAGGGGGCCCCCCGGGGAATCCCCTGTCCTTTTTCATACCTTTTTGAGTTTGGCAAGGAACGGGCCCCCTGATCCCCGTTGCCCCGGGGGGGCCCCTGAGTTGTCAGTCCACACCTACCAGGGAAACATACAGTGCAACTGGTGCATTGCTAATCCGTAAATCTACCCTCC